GATCAGTGTCTTGATCAGTGTCTTGATCAGTGTCTTGATCAGTGTCTTGATCAGTGTCTTGATCAGTGTCTTGATCAGTGTCTTGATCAGTGTCTGGATCAGTGTCTGGATCAGTGTATTGATCAGTGTCTGGATCAGTGTCTGGATCAGTGTTTTGATCAGTGTCTGGATCAGTGTCTGGATCAGTGTCTGGATCAGTGTCTGGATCAGTGTCTGGATCAGTGTCTGGATCAGTGTCTGGATCAGTGTCTNGATCAGTGTCTGGATCAGTGTCTGGATCAGTGTCTGGATCAGTGTCTGGATCAGTGTCTGGATCAGTGTCTTGATCAGTGTCTGGATCAGTGTCTTGATCAGTGTCTGGATCAGTGTCTTGATCAGTGTCTGGATCAGTGTCTTGATCAATGTCTTGATCAGTGTCTTGATCAGTGTCTGGATCAGTGTTATGATCAGTGTCTTGATGAGTGTCTTGATCAATGTCTTGATCAGTGTCCTGGTCAGTGTACATGTCTTGATCAGTGTCTTAATCAGTCTTCATCAGTATCTGGACCAGTGTCCTGATTGGTGTCTTGATCAGTATCTTGATCTGTGTCTTGATCAGTGTCTTGATCAGTGTCTGGATCAGTGTCTKGATSAGTGTCTTGATCAGAGTCTGGATCAGTGTCTTGATCAGTGTCTTGATCAGTGTCTTAATCAGTCTTGATCAGTATCTGGCCAGTGTCCTGATTGGTGTCTTGATCAGTATCTTGATCTGTGTCTTGGTCAGTTTCTTAATCAGTGTTTAGATCCGGTATGAGGACTCATGCACCTGACCAAATACGATGCTGTAATTTGTTGCGGAACTTCATAACTATTAATGATTCAAGAAAATCAGAAAGATTTGCATTTCCTCACAACACGTAGTCACTTGATTGAAGCCCCTCGTTGTGTAGTTTTAGTTCCTTTATTACAAAGCTTTTGAAGTGTTTTGAAAAAAACATAGCACTTCAATCTATGGTCATTTTAGTCAATGAATTCAAATTCTTCCAATTAAGTGGCATCCCCGTCCACGGTRTGTTTGAAGCTGACAAAAACTGGTGAATTTTCCAATTGAGGCAGCAAATTGCTTCGGAAAGATTTTCAATAGATGTAAAATTATTAGTACGTAAATAGGTACACGGAAGTCAAGCGTGAATAATCAACAAGCAGCCGTGAGCGGACTTATTTTTATTTGACTGCCTTAAAACCCTTCAATGCATATGAAATTAAAGGAGAATATTTGTAAAAGATACATCTTTTAGTAACTTCATTTAGAAAAAAATCGTTCGACGATTTTTTGAATGCCGCTTTCATCGATATTTTCTATCGCCTTTGAAAACAAATGGGGTCATTTAGCTTCATATCAAAAAATCCATAACGTTAGAAAGAAAGTCACAATTTAAATCATACTCAATAAGGACAGTGTCTATATCCGTACCTATATTCTAGCTACTAAAAATATTGAATCCACTAAATTAAAGTCCCGATTTTGAGGGTACCAGTTGACACGCTGGAAACAATAGTAAAAGCCCATGAAAATATTCATCGCGTAATATTTGAAAAACGCTCTCATACATTTTTTTTATACTGCAATATGTTGGGTGCCTTGATGAATACTATCGACTGGTACAAGTCGCTTTTAAAGTTTATGTCTCGTTTTCGAGAAAATAAGCGGTAAACGATCTCTATGATGTCATCATTACGTCATAATGAAAAGGCCGCTTTAAACTAATTTATCATTTTTGAAACCTTTAATCCTTTCATGACATTGTGTGAAAAGTGCTGGAAGATCGAATTATTCAAGACGAAGTTGTAGCCGTTTCAATGCGGCTAGGTGTGCCAGACAAAAACTACCCAGAGCCTCTTAAAGTTGGGAGTCCATAGCAGCATGGTAGCCACAAAATATTTAATGAAAAGTTGCATTAGTGGATAACAGGAAATTTTTAATTTTAACCATTTGGTCTTTTTTAATTGAATACACTATATAAGGCGGGCGGCCAGAAGGATTACGACGCTTTTCAAAGTTCAATTTCTCCTGCGACACCTCACTATTTTTAAGCCTTTTGATTGCAACTTTTGTGATTCAATCAATATCAAAAATCTGCGATTAAAGCCTTGGTAACGTCGCTCGATAATCTTGTTTTAGGGAGAATGGTATCGAACAACCAAACAAGCCAAGTAGGGGAGACTTTTCGTCGGGCTACTTGTATATCAACAGGAGTGATATCTCTTTTTCTAGCCATCTTCACAAGCGCTGGGAATGGTTTTCTTCTCTACGTACTGTATAAAGATCCACTAAAAGTGCTTCGTAGACCAGTGACTGTYTTCATTGGGGCACTAGCTGTCGTTGACTTTTTAACAGGGGCTTTTTCAGACTTCACTTTCGCTGCTCATAGGTTTGAGTGCGCCATGGGAGCATATAATCATCCAGGAGCGGTTGGGAACTTTTCTGGAATCGCCTACTTTTTCACTGTTAACAGTGCTCTCCTTCTTGTCGCTGCTTTGTCCGTGGAAAGATTAATCGCGGTGGCCTTCCCATACTACTACCGAAATTCTGTTACAAAAAGAAAGATCTTCATCGTGGTAGCAGTTATCTATACCCACTCCTTTGTGTTCGCAATGCTTCAACTGGCGAAAATCCCCGACCAAATTTACCACAACCTTGACCTTAACATTCACATCAGTTTCCCAGTAGCAACAGTATCTATTACCTACGGGGCCATTTATGTGATTTTCCGAAAAAGACGCCTAAGAATCGATGCCAACAAATCAGGAGAAAATGTTACCCAAAGGAACGCATCTGTCGTTGTTGAAAGCTCAGATGTCAGGCGTCAAATTCGAAATCTCAAGATTGAACAGCAGCTCGTTTCAACTGCTTTKATTATATTATTGTGCATGATCGTAGCTTTGATTCCGTATCTAGTTTTTGTGTACGTAGAGATTGAATGTCCCAGCTGCATCGATACTGAATGGTTCTTTGCAGGCAGACGCCTGTGCGTTCCATTTCTCTTCAGCAACAGCGCGATAAATCCGCTGATATATGCCCACAGGCTGCAACATTACAAAAACTCATTTCGTGCTATAATCGTTGATTCGCAATCTCGAGTTATATCACTAACTAGCCATATATGTATGAAACAAAAATCGGTTGTTCCGACGCAAAGCATACGATAAACTCCTTCACCTTGAAGCCTTCCTTCAAATATACAAATAACCATTCTTTTTCCGCATGCTTTTTTTCTATTTCTTTAGCAATTTTGGATCTGGATATTAACAATCCTTAAAATAATGTGAATGTAGTTTTTAGGCAAGCCAGCTAATGGGCCATCTGTCTTAAATTTTAAACATCCTTATATTTAACTTATCTATTGCTGTGTGAAGTACAAAATTTGATGTAGTATAATATCTATCCGAACTTGATAAGTTAATATTTTTTTGTCCGCCTAATTTTTCTAAATCCTTTAAAGTGCTTATAAGCCTTTACACAATATTTTCAGAATTGATTCTTTAAATAATGAATAGTTGATTGTGAAAATAATTCGTCATTTGAATGTCGGGTCTTTGAGATAAGAAGGTTTATATTTCCAATATGTTAATGAYWATGACGTAACATAAGGGATTTAAGTTATTTTGTGGCAACTTTTAATATTGGACGCTGGACGTTTTTTGAAAACAAATTTGTAAGAACCTTTACGTGAGTCACGAGTAAAAGGGTGATGCTTTTAAAATACTGTATTCCAGAACGAGTGCAGTGTTGTATATTAAATGATCCCTTATGTTACGTCATAGTCATTAACATATTGGGAATATAAACCTTCGTATCTTAAAGACCCAACATTCAAATGACGAATTATTTTCACAATCAACTATTCACTATCTAAAGAATCGATTCTGAAAATATTGTGCAAAGGCTTATAAGCACTTTAATGCAATAAAGAAAACTATACAAGCTTTTACTATGAGAGAATCAATTATGACGGCTTTCTTTCTCGTTAAATGGAACCTATATTTATTCTAATTTGTGAAAAATAGATGAGTTAGCCAGTGATATTTTGTTGGTACAAAGCCAACACAGTAATAAAAGATGGCTAACAACAACTTTATTTTATCTCCGTTTTGAAGAGAAGATTATGCACCAGGTCAAGAGAGTACGAAGTACTTCATGCTCTCTTTACAAATGAAACGAAAATCAAACCATAGCAATCTACGACCTGTAGGTGGTTAACTTTTACCTATATAGAAATAGATTCACACCATGCCACACACACGAGTAATTAAAAAACAAAAACAGAGGACCAAAACCAATCAGTGGCAATTTCCGGCAATTCTACTTTCAAATGAAAATTTGTTTGATTTTTTGAAATCTTACTTTTATTTGCTAAGTTGAAACTCGAAATTCAACGCTTTTCATTTATTATATTTTGATTTGATAACAAAAGAATTTGACAGCGTTATCAACAGACTTTCGAACGATTTGGTCGAAAATTTTGTACGTTCATTCTCTTGATATTGTTGTTTGCACAAAACAATCTCACATTTCTCTCCGAAAAGTCTCTCTTCACTTCTGGAAAGGCATCACTTAGATATTTTGCTATCTCTCTGTATTATCTTTAACTAAGTCTGTTATCACGTTTGTTTGTTAGTTTCCATGTACTCCATAATGGCGCCAAACAGATGGTTGCAGCTCCCTTCCGCGAATTGACGAAGATCAAAAACATTTTACTCATATATTTTTCAAACAAAAGATTAATTTGGAAAAAGATCCGTCTTTTTATTAAGTTTTAAGAATATATAAAACTTCAAAGAAAGATACAATGTCGAATCCTCTTGTTGTTCATCACAGTTTAAAAGTACGGATGTCTTTTGTTTTTAAATGAAAAATAGGGTGATTTTTAAACTTGGTCAAATCAAAATAGAATAAATGAAAAGCGTTAAATTTCGTGTTTCAACTTAGCAAATAAAAGTAAGATTTCAAGAAATCAAACAAATTTTCATTTGGAAGTAAAATTGCCGGAAATTGCCACTGATTCAAAACTCGTCTAAATTTAATGATATCAATCTCAAGAGTTTAAATCAATAACTTGAAAGAAATGCTTGCTTCTTTTTAATGTTTGCCGCATAATTGACCTAAAGNAAAAAAAAAAAAAAAAAAAAAAAGAGAGAAAACTGAAAAAAAACTGAAACTGTATTTTCAAAATGTCGTCGTTAAACGAAAAGAAATGGAGTCGTGAGAATATTGAACTGATTATATTTTTTCGATTAGTTACCAGTTATGATATAAATTATATCATCAAAACTAAAAATATAGAAAATATCTCAGGCCATCGAAACACGTATTGGTAAAATCAATAATTTCGAATAGAGCTAAACTTGCGAAGTCTTATTCCCGTAGTTAATATTTGATTCCCTTGTCTGAATTAATGAATAATGCTTCGGCTGATAGAGTAAAAGAAATGATTTTTTTTAACTTTAAAAAGCCTATTTATTTAAACTTTTTTTTTCTTTTTCCCCCTCATTCAGCTATAAAAATTAAATATTATGATAGATGGGTAAAAATTTAGAAATATTATTTTTGTGATTAATTTCAAAATGAAGATAACTTCATAATGAATATGCAAAAAGGTTTCTGATCAATTTGAAGTAAAAAAAAAAAAAAAAAAAAAAAGAAAAGAAATTCTGAGCTCTTGTTTCATATGGTTGCCTTAGATATTTTCATTTGCTTCCATTATACTTTGTAGCATACTTTGGGGAGATAAAATGTATGCTCGACGGAAGTTAAACGAGAATTATAAAAATGCACTTTAGTTATAGATCCTGAAATGTCTTCGTAAATATTCAACACCTATACAAGTCCTCCAGGCTACTAGTAATCTGCGCGCGAGATATTGTAATAAGAGGATGCATTAAGATTCATAGCTTGAAACATTTCACACCATATGTTTGAAGTTAAAGGTATGGTAAGATGATGATTTAGGCCCGTCCACACTGTAAATTTGAATCCGCAACTTTCACATCGAAACCGAAAAAAAAGTTTTCCGTCCACACATGAAAACGAATAAAATGTTTCGCGTCCACACTAGTCCGATCAGAGGCGGCAAAAACGCTTCATTGCACATCTGAGCATGTGCATCGAAGCTGAAATTGAGCCCGCGGTGAATTTTTAGCCTTCCCGCCATGTTACCATGACAATCATAACGTCATCGTATCCGAAAAATTTCGGATACGAAATGTTCTCCGTCCACAGTAATACGGCTAGCCGGCGCTTTCAAATTGTTCCATTCTGGAGACCGTATTTGTTTTCGGTGAAGAATTGTTCCGGATTCGCCCGGACTAGTGTAGACGATAGGCCTAACCGAATAAATAAAAATTCGGATTCAAATTTATCCGGTATAGTGTGGTCGGGGCCTAAGCTGTTAGTGGAAAAGGATACAAACACATGCATGAGTCAGAAAGAAAATAAGAATTTATATAGCGCCCTTTATATACCTATTACAAAAAAGACTAAACTAAACTTAGACTAAACGGAATTTTTGTGCTTTTATATTTTCTGGCTAAAAAAAAAAAAATGCATTTCTAACTCAAAGGTTCACCTTCATATTCCAATCTAAAATGAAACTACATCGTTCGGCTGTCAATGTATTTCATTTTGCAGCGTGTTACTCGGTCTCAGATTTCAGATTTCAAATCTGCGACCGACTGCATTTTTTGAAATAGCTGTATTGACACTCTATTGCAAAATCATTGTCGGGGTCAAAAACAACAACAAAAAAAAAAAACGATATAAAAGCTTAGAAGGAAAGTTATTTTGCGAAATGCTGGATCGAGCATGGCGTTAAACAATAACAAATCATGAAAAACAGATGTAATAAATGAAATGTAATTAAATCACAAGACAAATAGTTTAAAAATATAAAAATAAAATATTGAATCTAATTTAAGAGTTCTGAACGGGAATAAAAGAAGTTCAAAATTTTAAGATATATTATTAATAATAATTGAAATATCAATAGAATGAATTAATATATTAATATTATCTCGATAGTATTTATGATTTATATAGGTAATATATGAAGTACTTTGGTATATTATTAATTGTTGATTCATGATTGATGAAATTGAATTGAACATTAACAATTATTATCAAAAATAATGAAGTTATTTTTCTCTATTGTTAGTCGCTTTTAAAAGAATTGCTGTAAAATTAGGTACTTTGCATTATAATCAATAATTTAATAATTCAATAATAATATATTATGTTCCTTGATAATTTTTCTAACGACGAACATATGCGATACCGGGTAATTTTCTAATATAAATTTTTCCACTGCATTATTTATGTTCCATTTTCCCGCGGGACACGCGATGTACGGGATTCTGATGAATCGTTCGGGTCGTATATTGATACTGTTTCATTTCTTATAGTACACTCAACAAAATTACTCGACTCTGATTGGTCGAGAGGAGTACAATTATAGCGTTAATTGTACTCCGTAGGAGTACCGAATTAAGTCGCTATGGCAACACGGCCAAAACAATGTCAAAACAATTATTTTCTATCATTTTGTACTTAAAAAGCATAAATAAAATTTTAAAGCCGTAAGAACTAATCTTTTTTATGAATTTCAGTTGCACGATGGACTGGAAATCGGCCGCCAAATAGACAAAGATGAACGGCGTCGCTTCGCATTTGTTACTGAAATTTTGTTGAGTGAACTATAAACAAAAAATCGCACGATCGTCTCGTACAATTTGGAATTAATAGACACTCGTAATGTTTTGAAAGTTCTTTAATTGTACTCGCCTAAAGGCTCGTGCAATTACAAGAACTTTCAAAACATTACTCGTGACTATTAATTTCCAAATTGTACTCGAGATCGTGCGATTTCCTATACTAATTCCTATCAGCTATTTTCATATATATAAGTTTACAAAAGGGAAAATGCTTGTTTTTTTTCGCGCTTCTTACGCCATACGATAGGATACGAATACTTTTATGCCATGCATTGGTATGTGTAGCTAATCCTGAATTTTTATGCTGATGATATACGGGAATTTTCTCTTTATCCCGCAGGATCACTTACAATATACAAGAAATTACTCTTTATCCCGCAGGATCACTTACAATATACGAGAAATTACTCTTTTTTCCAGCAGGATCACGTTCGATATACTCTTTTTCCCACATGACCACGTAACATATACGGGAAATTACTCTTTTTCCTGCATGACCACGTAGCATATACGGGAAATTCCTCTTTTCCCCGCAGGATCACATGCGATTCATGGTAAATTCCTCTTAATATCCCGAATGACACTTCCGTTTGTGACAATTTCGTACGTCCGGACGTTTTCTTTGAGACGACTATAAAATGACCTAACGCTCGTTGCGATCACTCACAATTCAATATTCTCTTTCTAACTCTACCTCTACGGGATTTTGGTGTCTCCTTGGGCGGTACCCACGTCGTACCCGAGATGGAGGTCGTATCGCTCTCGAAGGCCTCGGCTTCTGTTTCCTTAACTGTCTCTCCCGGTTAGCTCTTGCTACAGGCAACGGGCGACTTCTGCCTGAAATGGTCACGGATTCAGGTTTATATGGACTAATAATCTGATTCTTGTCGAGATAGGAAGCCGAGATGTCGCTCATCACGGTATCAGTGGTTGGGCTTCCCCACATTCCTTTTTTGGAGTGGTAAAAGTGATAGAAGTTTGGAATACGTAGTCGCTCCACTTCTATGTTTTTTAGGAGAACTCTGTTGAGAAAAGAAAAAAATAGTTATTTTAAAAATATTTTGTATGGTGTAAAGATTTTAGTGTCCAAGCTCTACGAGGCCTTTCCAGAAGCTTGGTATTAAATGTTCTTGGTATAAGCTTTGCACTTTGGTAACTACTTTCGGTAGTCAAGGGAAACCAAGGGTGGTGTAGTGGTACTGCAATCGCCTCTCACTTTCGAATTCGGGGTCTCACATTCGATTTCAGGACTCGACTTCATATGTGAGTAGATTTTGTGCGTCTCTCCCTTGATTAAAGAGTAATGATGAAAAGGTAAATTATACACCGTGAAAAGATGAAAAAACTTACTGACGTTTCGGACGCTAGTCCTCTTTTACTCCGACG